CCTATGTATATACTAAGAGAGTTTTTAACATATTTCTAATGCGCGTTTTATCCACTCATGTCATGAAAGCCCCTAACCTAAGTAGAGAGACGATAAATTCATTTTAAAAAGCAAAGGGAACATGTTAGCTTGTAAATAAAAAATAAAGAAATACTTAATTTCAACCAAAAAAACTGGTAAATGGGGCTCGGGTGCCCTTACATCACCGTTAGCGAGAGAAGCCTTCCATAGATTCTTTGACCTTGACTCTCCTCCCGGGACTTGATTCAGGTCTTGTTAAAACGTTCTCTCTGTTAACTTATAATATCAAAATTCTCATCGTTTATCATTTCTGCTACTTGCTTCGTCTGCAGTGGAAGTCTTGCCGAGTTCGAAACATTAAATCCCATTTCTTTTGACATTATGGTCTTGTTTCCTCTTTTTTTCTCTCGCTTACACCCCCCCCCACACACACACAAATCACACACACATGTGCGCACACATCACACACCACAAAGAACACACTAAAAATGATATATATATATATATATATATATATATATATATATATATATATATATATATATTATATATATGGTGATATATATACATGGTGATTGGAATTCAGCACACATATGCCTAAACAGAACGCAATGATGTAACGTGAAAAGCTACATATATTTGATTGTCAGGTTATATGACTGCAAGGCGATGAATCACCTAGATGACCATTGTTTCCCTTTGTTTTCATTCTGTTCACAAACGACCAGTGCCATCAGCAAAGCGAGCATTTTTTCCAGTGTTCTCAAGGCACATACAAAAGCTCCTTCATTTTCAGGGGGATTAGATAGTCCAAAAGTGTTGTATTATTCCAAATACATTATGACTTGCTTGAATAATTAAGATTGCATTACCCTAATTGAAGTGAAAACAAATTTTGCTGTGATAATGCGAGGGGAATCGTATCACGATACATAGTACCGAAACACATCAAAAGGTACTGACTTTCCACTTGCTTTGTGTATCTATGTGTGTATGTGTGTGTGTGTGTGTGTGTGTGTGTGTGTGTGTGTGTGTGTGTGTGTGTGTGTGTGTGTGTGTGTGTGTGGAAAAACACGCTACCCTGTTAATAATGTGGTAGAAAAAAACAGAATGCACAAACTAGATTTATTGAGGTCTGAAAGGAAAGAGGAGAGGAAGCAGTAGAAGAGAGAGGAAAGAAAAGCATCGCGGGAAACACGGGGCATGTGAGGACAGGAGGACGGAAGTGAAGGGAGGTCAGGTCAGATCAGATCGATTCCGGCGGTCTATGTTAAGGGTGGAAGAAGTTGGAGGAAGAAGGCGCCTGGCTGGCAATCTCTCACTCTCCTTCTCGGCACCTTCTCTCCTGCTCACCCCTGTCACTCTCAGGACTTCATCTTCCGTGTCTGAGGTGTCTTGCAGACACTAATTGCGATGTAAGGGCACCCGAGCCCCATTGACCACTTTTTTCGAGCTTGGATGTCGACTCCCTGTTCACCAAGGTCCCATTTGATGACGTTCCTCGCTTTCCTTCAGAGGAAGCTCCCTGCCGAAGATTCTCATTTTTCTCTTCCCACCTACGTCTTCCCCCAGCTGATTCGTGTGTGTGTGGAGTCGAATTCCTTTTCCTTTGAGGACGTTCGGTGTTGCCATGGGCTTTCCTCTCTCCCCTGTTCTGGCTAACTTGTTCATGGAGTTCATCGAGTCGGAGCTTCTCCCTTCCATCTCCCCTCGTCCTGCAGAGAACTAACTAGCTCCGCGATTCCTTACAAAAACCCGTGGTTCTAGACGTTTGACAGCCACAGAGAGGTTTCTATATAAAGTAAAACGTGCTGCATCTGTCTGTGTAGTGGCAGTAGAGGTTGTGTTTGGTCTTGTGCAATTTCAAGCTGAAATATAAAAATCCCACAACCCTCCTACGCAAATTTTTCAAAGTTGGCGCATGCGCAGTGAGCCTCACCTGCAATACCCCCACCCCCCGTAGACCCCCCTCTCACCTAAGGTGTCCTGCTGACTACCGAAAGCACCCCTAAGCATGCCTCCACCGCCATCTCGCGCGTCGCCACCATTTAGCGGAGAGATGACTAAGAGCATGGATGCACTACTTGAAGCACAACACAAATGCTATAATGACGCAATTGCACATCTCGAAGATAATTTTTTAAGTTAATGAAACTGAACAAAAATTCCATGATGTCATTTCAAGCCTTGAATTTTCTCATAAGGAATTAGCCGACCTCAAATCCTAACTTGCCAGTGCCATCAGTGAAGGAGAAAATAAGACAAGGCAAATTGAGCAATTGCAATGCTCAAACCAGGACCTTAAAGAAAATCTACTGTTTAGCAACAACCGCTCACGTGATAGTTGGGGCGTCTGTCTCTATGTACACGACCGACTGACCTGTTCTCACTGAACCGACCTTTCTGTCATGGTCCAGTGCTTAGAGTCCACTTCCAATGAAATCAGCAATTCGCCGCAGAACATTTTAGTCGGAGTCAT